ATAGGTGCATATGCTTGAATGGATTTTGAAAGGAAGCAGAAGAAGATGGAACCTTATTGTTTAAAACTGTTATTGGATTCATGTTGTGCGAGTGTTATAGCTTCTACATACTTTTTCAAATATATGTACACAAAATCTTGTATGACGTCAACTCAAACAGGAGTGTCTTGGATGAAAGAATTATAAATGGTCACACTATTCGATGTGTTAATGCATTTCAAATGCCCTAACTTTGTTTTTAAAACTAGCCGAAAAACCTGAATTAAAGTACGAATTGGATTCAAGTGATAAAATGTCGGTTGTTGAAAAGTTTGAGATTTTTAATACACTATTGCGTTAGGTGTGTCGAATAGAGATGTTGGGGAGAGATTTCAACGGTCGGGAGATACGATAAGTTGAACATTTAATAAAGTTCTAGAGACAAAAGATTCAAAGGTCTAGCACGTGACATTATATGACCGAAAGATCCAACCTTTCAATTTATACGTTCACAAAGCAAGAATGATAAAAGATACATGTCGTATTTTAAGGTATTAAATTTTAGATATTTCTTTCAACTTTTAATACAATACTATAATATTATTACTAATTTTGAAATTGCATTTAGGATTGCATGTCGTATTTTAATTTATACGTTCACAAAGCAAGAATGATAAAAGATACATGTCGTATTTTAAGGTATTAAATTTTAGATATTTCTTTCAACTTTTAATACAATACTATAATATTATTAATAATTTTGACACGTGTGTTCTTTCATGCGGTTAACACACCATCAATGAACTTTCCCAAACCACATGATGGTAAATTAGCATAATTATCTTTATTATTTTCCTATAATTATATAAATGATGTTACAATTTTCTATTTTTCACCAAATTAACAGGTAAATATTATTTGGTTGATAAATGTTATCTATATAGTAATGGATATATGGTTCCATATTCCAAGACAAGATACCATTAATCTCAGTTTGAAAGTGAGCCACCAACTAATATGCAAGAAGTTTTTAATCGTTCTCATTTATCATTGAGAAGTTGTATTGAAAGATCATTCAAAATCTTGAAGAATAGATATAAGATACTCAATGGAATACCTAAATTTAGTGTGCAAACTCAAATTGACATTATTATGGATGTATTTGCTTTGAATAACTTCATTCGCCGTAACTCTAAGGAAGATATGCTTTTTAATTTCGTTGCATAACATCCTAATTACGTATTAATTGACAAACTTTGTGTTATCCGTGGTAGTGACATTAAGAATGAGGATTTTTATGAAGGATATTGCTACTTTAATATGAGATATGCTCGAGGTCGATGATTTTATTACTATATTTTTAATGTTGACGTACGACTTTTGATTTTGTAGTAGTACATAGTTATCAAACATTTCCTAGTTTTGAAGAGAATAATCAATTTTTCATTATTATGTTTCTATTTTATATTTTACAAGATGCTATTTTATGTAATTTTACATGTTTTAAAAGATTCAAGCTATATTTGCCGAACACTTATATAACAAATCAAAGCAATAACTACCACTATCCGTTATCCGTTATATGTTAACAGCCACCCGCTAATTTTATTAAACATGTCCTAAATATCATAACAGATTATACGTAGATTTAATGCAATGTCTAACTAGATTTAATATATGTTTAAGTAGTTAAATCTATCCTAATAATATTACAAGAACCCATAAATAAATAAAGTATGAGCTTTAATTAAAGGGAAAACTGCAAAAAATTCTTTATATATTGGTCTCATAATCGACTTATATATTTATATATATATATATATATATATATATATATATATATATTATTCAATAAAGTCCCAAAGACCGGTAATCGTATTCAAATTAACTCTATCCAACTTTTAAAAATTATACTCTTGGCCTAGGTTTCATATTTTTCACAAATTTGGTCCAAAATTTATACTTTTGGCTTACATTTTAAATTTTATTACAAATTTGGTCCAAAATTTACCCTTTTGGCCCAAATTTCAGAATTTTGTTATGAATTCATCATAACTTTAGTTTTTTTACAATATTTTTTCTCAAAAAAAAAATCAAATATATTTTGTCTTTATTAAATCATATTTATACAAAAAACAACATCTTTTCACATAAAAATTCTTATATTTTCTATATAAAAACTTTTTTTAAAAAACTTTTCTATATACGAATTACCTATTTATAAACATATGTATTTATTAAGTACATAAATATACCAAAATCCATTTTTATAAAAAAAATATACACAAACACGTATTTTACAAGAAAAAATATGTACAAACATCTATTTGATTATAAATACATTTTGTAAAAACATACTACGTATTCATATGCACCCAAATAAACGTTTATATATATATTTCTTTTGTAAAAACATATTTATATTTTTTTATAAACTCCTATTTTATAATAAACGCATTTGTATTCAAACACGTTTATATACAAAATGTATATAAACATGTATTTTAAAAAAATATATTCAAACAAGTTTTTATAAAAAAATATATAAAAACATGTTTTTATAAAATAAAATATATACAAACATGTTTTTATTAAAATCATCATTTGAGAAGTAAATTATCCATTAAATGTATACTATAAATAATAGTTATATAAGAATAAAGAACATAAAATAATAACTCATATTCAAAATTCAAAAGGAATTTAGATCACTAATAAAAGTTATGCGTCTTCAAATTATAAATTTTTTTTTATTGTCAAACAATTTTTTTTCAACCCACACAACGTTATATTTTTGTTTTAAACCCAAAATATTATATCAAAATGAGTGTCTGTATAGATTCTTTTTTTGTAAAATATGTGTTTGTATGTATATTTTTTATAAAAACGAATTTGTATATATTTATATACTTAATTAATACTTCTTTAAAAGTAGGTATTTCGTATACAAAAAATGTTTTTTAAAAAAAGTTTTTATATAGAAAATATAAATTTTTTTATGTGAAAATGTGTTTTTTTGTATAAATATGATTTTTTAAAGAAAAAACATATTCAAAATTTTTTTTGAGAAAAAAAGTTGTAAAAGAAAAACTAATGTTATGATGAATTCATAACAAAATTCTGAAAACTAGGCCAAAAGGATAATTTTTTGATCAAATTTGTAATAAAATTTAAAATCTAGGCAAAAAGTGTAAATTTTGGACCAAATTTGTTATAAAATTTAAAATCTGGGCTAAATGTGTAATTTTTGAAAGTTTGATGACCCGTTGATCGAGTAAAAGGGTTAATTGAATACGATTACCGATTTTTAGTATTTAATTTAATAATAAAAAATAGAAGAACTAAATCGACTTTTTTGCAATAATATACTTTCTCTAAAGACAAAACTGCACAAATGGTCCCTGTGGTTAGCTGAAAATTGCTACTTTAGTCCAAAAAGTTTGGACTAGCACCAGAGATCCAATCTTTTCATTTTGTTGCGACTTTGGTCCAATTTGGTTTGAACTTTTTTCTAAAGACAATTTTTCCTCGTATTATGTTTCCATTTTTATTTATTACCAGCAATGATATATATATATATAATATATATATATATATATATATATATATATATATATATATATCTTCTTTACGTTTCAGTTTCGGAGATTTTCGTCTCTTTAATCTCTATCACCACTGTTCCTCCCTACCCCAATATTCCATTTTTTCGATTAGAGGGAAATCCCACTGTTCCTCCCTACCCCAATATTCCATTTTTTCGATTAGAGGGAAATCCAACCCAACAAATTGAGAGATTCACAGCGGAATGCTTCTAGCAGGGTTCTTGTCTTGAAATTTTCTTTAAAGTAAAGGGATTCAAGAGATACCTATTTCAAAATCATGTTGGAACCATTGGCATCATCCTGTCCGTCTTCCGATGAAGATAATGACAATACTTTTGCAACAAAGAAGAAATCCGACGAAGAAATGGAGCCCAAACCATTAGTTTGGCGACTACAGAGAAACACCTCTAGAACGGGGATCTATACATCCAGAGCTTTTCCAATAACGTACCTCACGGATCTAGGAAGTATTTGTGGACTGATGGGTGTATGTACGAAGTTGATTGGAAAAGAGGTAAAGCATCTAGACTCGTTCTTACAGATCTTGAAATGAGAAGGGTGGCGGGTTAGGGTTTCATAAAACGAGAAGGGTGAAAACAAGAGAAGGAGATAGATATAGACATATGAATGGGAAAGATCCGATCGGAGCCTCAAATTGACCACAATTTGTTTTCCCAACTTCAACTCTCCGATTTTGAGCTCCTATTGTTGCTTCACCATTACTGGTCTTTCCGTCATCGTTTCCAAAGCCTCACATTCTTCTACCTTGTTCTTCACATTCTTTTGACTGCCAAAAACAACTTGCTTCAGACTAATCACCTCAACCCCAAAACAGCTAGACCACACAACTTAGTAACTACTTGATGATGGTCTTGGGGCTATCGTACGTTGGAGTGTATGGAAAAAGATTAGAGGCATGTTCTGTATCAAATGCAAGGGAGAGTTGATATTTTAGGATCTAAGTTATGAGTTACTTTAGAACAGAGTCTTGTAAAAAAAAGATCTGAGTGATTGGGAGATGGGGTGTTCTTGATTGAGAAACAATAAGGTGATTAAAACTTCTCTGGTTAAAGAGCGAGAGAATTATGTGGGTATGTGTATGTATGTTCTTTAATGTTGAAGAACAAACCATAAATGGTGGGTATGGTTGTTCTGAGATGGAGAGAGAAAACTATATATATATAATAATATATTATCTACTATCTATATATATATATATATATATATATATATATTATTTTGTTTTATTTTTAATTGGTGGTAATAAAATAAAAATAGAAACATAAATTAATAAGGACCAACCTCTTTTAAAAAAGTTCAAACCAAATTGGATCAAAATCGCAACAAAATGAAAAGATTTGACTTCTAGTATTAGTCCAAACTTTTTTGGACAAAAGTATTAACCGGGAGCATTTGTGCACTTTTGTCTTCTCTAAAAAGTTATGGGCTGGAAATGGGCTAAAGCTAAAGCCGAGTAAAAAACGTCACTCATCTGCTTTCTTCAATTTCTCTGCAATAATCCTCCATACACCCTCAATCGAGAAAGATGAACGCAGTTTCAAATTCTGAAAGGAACTTCAACGAGGGTACTTCAAAATCCGATTTCTTAATTGGATCTCTGTTTAATTGTCTAAAATCATATGATTGTTTTCTAATTCAATGTGTTGCAGAGAACGCCGGTGGAAGCGACACGGACACGATCCCCGACGAATCACCGGAATACTATGAGCCAATATCTTCCAGTGCCATCGAAGATGACGATTCTTCCGATCAGAACTCCGATACCGATCACGAACTTAACTTCCACCGTCTACCGAATGGGGAAGCTCGTTGCGTACAGAATGGAATAAATTCTCTGGATCTGAGCGACGAAGATGACGAGGAAGACGAACACGAAGAGGAGGAGAGGATGAGAGAAGCGATGCAGAGAGCTTTTAGAGAGGATGAGAGCCGTCGAAGGGCTCCGTTGACGCCGGAGAATACGACTAGAGTGATGGAGGCGATGCGTGGGATATCGTTCCCAGGAATGGCTCCGGATTGGGCGGGTCGAGTTCCTGAGGATCGGTGGATCGATCAGTTAACAGGTATCAGACAGCCACCATCTTCAACTGCATCTTAGGTAAGAGTTTCTACATAATGTCATTTTGATGCATATGATAAACTGATTATGCAAATGCATTAGAATCCATTGAATTGCCTGATCATCTGTTTAAACCATTGAATTGTCTGAGATTGATTTCAGCATTTCATTTAGGATTTCAATCAAACACATATGTTGATTAGGTTCCTAAGATAGGACTCTTTCTTGAATGATAATTTGATTCAACACAATGTTCTGAAGATCAAGATTATAAGAATGTATTTTGTTGAAGCAATATGTAGTTAGACTCTCAATAAAAGTGGTGTTTATTGTTGCTTCATGTTGTTAGATTTTGATGTTTTATATCTGTTTGGCTCATATGGAAAGTAACACAAAGTTAAAGGGCAATTCATTTCAAATAAGTTTATTTACAATGCTAGACAATGATAGGAAAAAAGATTGAACAGTTATTATATTGTAAAAGTAAAAGATTATATTTTGGGACTATATGTTCATTTTGCATACATAAATAGGGATTGTATTTCTGTGCGATGCAACGAAAACTCTATAAAAGATTACAAAAATGTAATTATATTTGAAATCGAAGAATATTTAGGATATTAGGTTCAATAGAAAATGATAATTATAATATTAAATTCAAGTGGATTTAAACATTTGTATAACTTTATATTTCTCAACTAGATGTACTGAATATATTTTATAAAGATATAAAGAGAAAAAAAAACATACTTAATAATGATATGCAAAGAAAGGGATTTGAAGACAGACTATACGTCATGTTTGATATATGTTAGATTAGACAAATTTGTTTATCAATTTAGACCAAACATATATAATGTCTGACATATGTTGAATTAAGAAAAATATGTTGAATTAAGAAAAATTTATATTATTATGAAGATAAAATCAAGATGGTCTCAACGGTCTCATTGATATATTTGGATTTAGGGTTAATGACCTAGAAAGGTAACAAACTTTTGTTTTTGTCCACATTTAAGTAACCATGTTTTTTTCGTTCATATTTGACCATTGAACTTGTTTGACCTATTCAAAATAGGGTAATATGACCGGAAACTAGGTAATATTACCCTATTATGAACCTGTGTTTAAAAATCGCGCCTAAGGCGCTAGGAGGCACTAGGCGACATAAGGCGACAATGGAAACGCCTCCAGCCTCCAAGGCGAGGTAGTGTACAGGAGGCATAAAATCTTGCTGTGAATCGGCGATTCTGTTTGAGGCGCCAAAGGGCTCGCCTTTAGGGATTCATGTACCGGGCCTTGTGTATTGGGCTTAATTCTACCCTATACGGCTATACCTATTAATTATGTTGTTGCTTTTTAACTGTAATTATATATGTGCCGTTTAGTTCAATTCACGCTTCACATAGATCAATGCCGACTCTGCATTACTTCTGGGTATTCCAACAGGTCTCGATAATCACTATAAATCCATGTATCTTCTCCTCATTCTCTATCAATCCATGCAACTTTCTTCCCTCGTTCTCTATATTCTTTTGCTTCCATTATTCTGAAGTCTTTTCTTGTCATCCCTTCTTCTCATTCCACTGATACTATGGACACCAACAATCCTATTCTTGACACTGAAGATGCAATGGATCCAGGCAGGAGATATGGTACAACTGACCCAACAAATAGATACAAGTTTACTTGCAAATTTTGTGCAAAGTCAACTTCTGGAGGAGTATACCGACTAAAACAACATTTAGTCGGAGGTTTCAAAAACTGTAAAAGATGCCCAAAGTGTCCAGAGCATGTGCGGGAAGAAGTGAAGAACTATATGATCCAGAAAGAAGCAGAAAAAAGTGCAAGAACTACTGACCATTCAAATGTAGTGACACTTGATGACTATGATGAAGATGATGATGGCGTGGGACAAGGAAGTAGCAAGCCTCCACCTAAAAAACCAAGACAAAAGGGTCCCTCTAGACAAGTTTTATGCCACTAAACCAGAAGACAAACTCAAAGGTAGAAAATGTGGAAAACAGCAAACAATTAATGAAGTATGTAGAAAAGACCTTAGGGACAAGGCTTGTAAGGAGATAGGTCGTTGGTTTTATGATGCAGGGCTACCTTTTAATGCAGCCTCTTATGATAGCTTCATATTCAATGGAATCTGTGTACAATTTGGCCCGGGATTCAAACCTCCAAGCATGTATGAGCTTAGAGTTCCTCTACTTAAAAATAAAGTGGAATCCACCCAAAAAGTGTTGAAAGATTACAAGCAAGAATGGGCAGTAAAAGGTTGCTCGATTCTGTCAGATGGATGGCGTGATTCAACTGTCAGAAAGATATTGTGAACTTTTAGTGAATTCTCCTAAAGGTTCAGTCTTTTGAAGTCCTTGGATGTTCAGAAATCAAAAAAAGATGCAAACGATGTTTTTTTTTAAATGCTTGATGATATGGTGGAAGAGATAGCAGAGGAGAATGTAGTGCAAGTGGTGACAGACAATGCATCTAACTATGTTAAAGCTGGTAAGTCACTAAGCCTTAATAACTCTTTTACCTGTTAGTTACTGTTTTGAGTACACTTGTCTTATTCTTTCATATTTCTCTCAAAACTCTTTTAGGATCAATGTTAGAGGCAACAAGACCATATTTATACTGGACTCCTTATGCTGCTCACTGTATCGATCTAATGTTGGAAGATATTGGAAAGATCCCAAGGGTGCGGAATACTTTGAAGGGAGCTATGTTCTGCAATGGTTATATTTATAACCATGTTGGCATTGTCAACATGATGAGGAGATTTACAAATCAGAGAAACCTACATAGGCCTGCAATCACGAGATTTGCAACATCATTCATTACTCTCTCCCAAATGCATAAACAAAAAAATAATTTACGGAAGATGATCACGTCTCCAGAGTGGAACAATTCCAAGTGGTCAAAAGATGCTGCAGGGAAGAGACTAACATCAACTTTTTTGCAAGAAAGGTTTTGGAGAAATATAGTCTTTGCTTTAAAGTTGACTGGACCTCTTGTTAAGGTTCTTAGAATGGTAGATGGAGACAAAAAGCCAGCCATGGGATACATCTATGAGTCCATGGATAGGGCTAAAGAGACTATCGCTGCTAGTTTTTTGCATAAGGAAGAACATTATAAAAAAGCTTTTGAGTATATTGATGCAAGGTGGGATTGCCAACTCCATAGACCATTACATGCAGCTGGGTTTTTCTTAAATCCAGAATTGTATTACAAAAATCCCGAGAATGCAATGTGTGCTGAGGTTATGAATGGATTGTATGCAACCATTCAAAGGTTGGTACCTGATTTGAGCACTCAAGATAAGATTGGGGAACAACTAGACTTGTATCAAAATGCCCAAGGTCTTTTTGGCAATCCAATGGCCATAAGACAAAGAGACAAAAGAGCTCCAGGTAATAAAAAAAATAAAAAACAGTGGATTGGTCCCTGATTTTTTTTGTTACCTGACTATTTTTTTTTCTATTAACAGATGATTTTTTTTCTGTTAGGAACTGATTTTTTTTTCTGTTAACAGCTGATTGGTGGTCTGCCTATGGAGCGTCGGCACCGGAGTTACACAAATTTGCTATCCGAGTTCTTAGCTTAACTTGTAGTGCTACGGGCTGCGAGAGGAACTGGAGTGTCTTTCAGCAACTTCATTCAAAAAAAAAAAAGAACAGATTAGCACAAAGTAGATTAAATGACATGGTGTACATCAAGTTTAATCGTGCTTTGCAAAGAAGATATCAAAGAAAGGACACAACTGATCCTATTCTTTTGAAAGAAATAGATGAAAGTAACGAGTGGTTGATGGGTCATATGGATGAGGAAAATGTTGAGGAGGATGACTTTGTTTGACGGAGATGATTAACTTGTCTGCTGTGTGAAAGCTTCTGGGGCATCTGAGCCTAATTATTCTACTAGGAGGTCATCTACACCAAGTAAGTTCTACTAGGAAGGCATCTGAAACCTCAAATTGTAGAAGGGCTTCTAGGGGATTTAGCTTGATTGATGAAGAGATAGAAGAAGACATTGGAGTTTCTGAAGATGATGGGGAGGAGGAAGTACTTGGGATTGATGTTGATGACGATGATGCTGATGAGTTTTAGGGATTTTGGTTATTTATGATTTCTGTTATGTTATGTTATGTTATGTTATGTTTTGTGTTTGTCTTTGAATTATGACATTGGTGTTTTTGCTTCTTAACTTGGTTATTTAGTGTTGTCTAGGAGTTATGGTTCTAAAATACTTTTAACTTTTTTTTTAATATACAAGCGCCTCGCGTACGTGAATCCCTCGATTCGAAGCGCCTCAAAAAATGAGGCTCTCGGATGGCTAATCGCCTCGAAGCGCTTCACGCCTTTTAAAACATAGTTATGAACAGGTCAAACAAGTTTATTGATCAAATATGTACGAAAAAAACATGGTTACCTAAATACGGACAAAAACCAAAGTTTCTTACCCGTTTTGGTAATACTGGACAAGAACCGTCTTAGGGACTGTGTGCCAATGAACAATTAGGTTAGGCTTGGTCTAACCCAGTTTAGTCCCGGCTAGTCATGGGCTAATCTGTGTTGCTCGGTCTTTAAAACACATACAACCTAACCCCGAATTAGCTGGGCCTAAACTGGGTTGACCCAAGACTTAACCATCTCCTCATACACAAGACCGGACAGCCCGATTTCATTTCACATCAATAGATCTTATGATTACTTGCACTTAACATAAAGAACCCAATATTACCAAAATGGGCAAGGAACTTTGGTTTTTGTCCAAATATTTATGTAACCATGTTTTTTCCGTACACATTTGACCAGTAAACTTGTTTGATCTATTCATTACAGGGTAATGTTACCGCTAATTACCGGTCATATTACCCTATTTTAAACAGATGAAACAAGTTCAATGGTCAAATGTGAACGAAAAAAACATGGTTACCTAAATGTGGACAAAGACCAAAGTTCGTTACCTTTCTAGGCCATTAACCCTTGGATTTATATCGAGTGTCACATAATAAAATTATAATAAAAAATCAGACTTAAGAAGTTAAATTAATTATAATAATAATAATTAATATTTTTTACAAAATTGTTATAAATATATTTGGTTTGTCACCATTTCTAATCTAGTTCACTTAAATCATCAATACTCATTGTTAATTAAAGAAGTTTATATATATCAAAATCTTGGACAAGAACGCGATACCAAACAATCGAAGAACATTTTTTTAGAAGATGTTATTAAAAATATGCGGTCATGAACGGAAAGATAATCAAACATAAAATGGATATTTTTAACAAAAACTTGCAACTTAAAGTTTAGAATTCAAATGCCAAGTCACAAAGCTGTTTTGCAAACAAAAGAGAATCTAATTAATGATCATATGGATCTTGGTAGTGCTAGAGAGTAGAAAACCAAAAATGTTCTAAAGAATTGGCAGACTTAGAGTGGTTGGAAACAATGAATTTGGATAAAAAGGATAAAGTGTGTGGAATAAACAAGATGATGAGAATTCTAATTTTTTTTCATGGTGTTTTGAAGCCGAGGAGACATATTCAAGGGGTCTTGGCTTTTATGGTATGTGGATCAATGACCCACAAGGAGTAAAAATGAATTTCAGTTTATGGTATGTGGATCTAATGAAATATGGAGTATTTAATGAATAGCAGTCGTTTTGCTACAAAATATGGCAATTTAGCATAGCCATACAAGTTGTCGTTTTAAGAAGATTTTTGTCGACCAATTTTCTTCTATAGAATCTCCTTTTATAATGGATGCAGTGAGAAAGTCGATACGAGGTTGTGGTGTGGATTAAACACTAGGATCGGATGGATTCAATTTCACATTTTAAGGAGTTTTTAGGAGATTGTAAAATTCAACATCTTCAATCACGTGCAAGAAATATATTGATTGTCATATTCATCTGGAACAGTCTTCTCTTGTGGAGTACATAATTGGTTGGATGCAATTAAATCCTCATCTCTCACTCATCAAAATTGTGATACAGGTGTTGAGGACTGCCTTTATGGCTTTTCTGTTGCTGCTGTTTAATTTTTCAATGTTTATAGATTCTTTGTTTGGAGTACATATGCTTTTCTCATGGTTGTGTGTGTGTTGTAATCTTTAATCTCTTTGTAAATGCTATCCTTTGTCGTGATGAGTGTTAATGATATGTATATATTTTCTTGTTTGGTGTCAATCTCCTATTCTTTATGGTGATGACTATTAATGATATATTGGCATCTATGGAAACAGGGCATTACTCTTCAAATCTTGAATTTTCTTTTATATTTGAAAAAAGCTTCCAAGCAACCCTTTTAGCCGATACAAATTTGTTTTTACAAGACATAATAAAGGAAAGTAATTTGCTATGTTGATTGGTAAAAACTAAAGGAGAAATTAAAAAACTAGAACTATGAAAATACATAATGTTATAAAATAATATGTTGTGAAAAAAGAAGAAGCGTAAAATGGTCATTCTTATCATTCGACCTATCCGCTTAATCAAAAAACACGGTTGCAGTCAGATGTAGATTCAGTCAAACCCAGACAACTTCAGATCAGACATGGCTCTGACTCACTCAATAACTATCAAACATCCCTAAGTCTAATTCATTGCTAATATAAAACAATGGTAAGATTAATGATCAACAAGCTTTCTGATGTGATTGGGGATGTTGGTAGCGGTGAACAAGCGATGTTTATTAGTCGATCTTGATTTGTTCCCCTCCCCTTTCGGTAGAGATCTTAACTCTATGATTCGATTTTTTATTCTATTTTCGAATTTAGCTTTATCAAATAACTGAGGATTCGAACCGAATAAGAGAGAATGAAATACTTCCTGTGTAAGAGCTCTTCAAACCTTGTCCTATCGAAGCTGCGTTAATACTCCTGGGAGTGTAAATGGTTTGAAAGAAGAATCATATAGGAGAGAGAAAAGATTTGGCCAGATCGTAAAATTATTGACAATCCTTTTAAGAATCCTTTAATGTTAAATAAAATCATTAACTACTATAAAGAGAAAATGGAAGCTTATGGTTTTAAAGTCGTTTTTGAAAACGCTTATGATTCATTGGATTGGGGTTATATAGATGACATGCTTCAACAAATTGATTTCAGTTTAAAATAGAAAATTTAGATTCGTCTACCGCGTCCATTTAATTAAGTAGGTTACATACTTTTGAGTTTCCTATATGGAGTGGTCTTTTTAGGGGGATCCTTTGGCCCCGTTCTTGTATATTTTGGTTATGGAAGGGTTCTATATTGTGATATTTGATACGATAGCCAATGAGTTTTGTTTTGTTTGTGTTTTTTTTTTTTTGGGGGGGGGGGGGGGGGGGGGGGGGGGGAGGGGGAGAAAGAGCAAATTGGTTTTGAGGATATTGATATTTTAATTTCATTTTAGGAAATGATGAGATGCATTTTGGAGAACGGTCTCAAAAATGAACATGAAGAATTTAGTGAGAGTTTTGCATTGACTCTTTCTTGCTTTTAGGCTGAAAATAAATTTTCAAAAAGCATCTTATTGGAGATTGTCGCTTTGAGTGACGAGGTAGCTATTATGGTGAATGTAGTTGGGTGAGTTTCTTCCAATATGCCTTTCAGGTGTCTTGGGTTGCCGGTGGGCTTGGATCTATCAAAAGTAGTGATGAATTTGGTTCCTAGAGGGGCTGTATTGATTAATAAGGTAATCCTCGTTCGTCTAAAGCCCTTCCGATCTTGAGAAAATAGAACAACGTCAGACTTTCACCTGCTGCTAAACCCGGGAGAATGCTCCAATGCTTAAGTCAGATGCAAGATATAGGTGATCGTTATCGAATTATGAATGAGATGTGGTTGTCGAGAGCATACCTGTTCGTGGTCGAGCTAGTCTGACTTTATACTACCTTTGCATGGGAAAATGGAGATGAGGGCGAGTCGAAAAGGTCCCCGTCTCATCTTCATTAATGCGCCCAGTGCTGAAGGTACAAAAGCAGTACTTATGAACTGTCTACAATGTTGTCATTCTCATTATCTAAGCTGTATCGAACCGTGGGCCCATGACAGGCTGTTTGTGTATTGTTCCTTATGACTCCTTATGACTCACAATGTTTTTCTTAAGTCAAGTGGTTCGACTTCGTCTTGCATGGTTCAACATTCCACGATACACTCGTCCGGACTGTATATAAGTGGTCCGGGTTCGGATCGAATGAAAAACTTCTGTTCGAAGGTGACATACCTCGCTAAGTCCCTTAAGTTCGGATTATTTTTAATAATTCGAATTTACTTCTCGTTTATCGACATCGGCCTCTAATAGATAGACTTGTCTGTCAAATTAGGTATCAGATTTGACCATTCCACCCCCTACGACTCATCATTGCCTATCTTATTACAGTTACCTTATAATAACCAACCACCCCTTATTTATCAGGAAAGATTGAATCATTTTTCTTCAATTGCTTCTTCGATTTTAACTACGCACTCCTCTCTTTGCTTCAAATTCTTCGAACCTATTTGATTTCTTCCTTCATCCCTTTATCATGACGAAAGGTAATCATCCCGTCCACACAACCTTTTTTACTTTGACTCAAGGATTATTGGACCAAATTATCAATCTTTCCAAATCGATCCCCAATTCAAACATATTCTTCCTTCTCAGGACCAGCCTATCTACATCTCCCCAGAAGGTTATGTTGGTGTTTACACTGTGTTCTTCAGGTGTAGACTCCGCCTATCCACCTTTGAGTTCCTAAATTCCATTATCGGGCATTATAAACTACACATTTCCCAAATTACTCCCAACGGTTTCAAGAAAATCATGTGTTTCGTGCTACTAAACAAAGCCCTAAACATAGTTATGTCTTTATCTATGTTTCATCATTTTTACGTGACTATGGAAAGGGGATTGGGTATCTTTTTCTTTGCCTTATGGAGCTATTGAGATATGCGATGGGTTGCCCACCTCTATCAAGAAATGGAAGATCGAGTTCTTCTTTGTAGACGCATCTACTTTTGGAGTTATTATGCATTTTGAAAGCCTCTTAAACTGTGATCATGAACCTAACCCCAAACTTACTGTAGATGGTTAATCCAAGATAAATCGATTGGTTGCTAATTATGTCAAATGGTTTGATCCTAACGATTCCATTCTCATACTTGCTGGACTATAAAGAGTCCCCTATGTAATCGACATGTCTGCTGCTCCGACTATTCGTGGCCAATCCAACATGCTTCTTAAACGTCTTCTCCGGAGGTGTAATACCCACTATTCCAAAGTTGTTAAGGGGCCTACCACGAGATCTGAAACTCCTGTTAAAGGTGAGGCAGTATTGCAGTCTGAATCTAGGATTGATTCCCATGTACAACCCGAGTCTGACGATCGCGCTGTGATATCATTGTCTCCCGCTATGATCGGTCTAAAGGTCAACATCCAAATTTTTCTTTATTTAAGCCTGCAGGAAAGATGAGCACCTCAACGAAGTGTAAGAGGGATCTTTGTTCATCTGAGGGAGTAATCGTCACTGAAGTAGAACATGTGGACCCATAAACCGTGCCCCTAGACAAACCGAGAAATCCTAAAGACTTGGTTTCGCCAAAGCATCTTCGTTTTGCTCGCCACACCAAACCTGCGAACCTTCCAGATTCTAATAAGGTGGTTGAAGATCCTTCCTTGAACAATCCTACCATTTACAAGCCTCCACTGCCCCCAAACACAAATCCTTCCTTACTTCATGACTGCCCAGTCTAAAATGACCCTGAGCTGGTAACTGCTACTGAGGCTTTATCTAGTCCTTCGCCAAGCCTTACGCCACCTCCTTCTTCAAGTAGTGCTCTGACCATAGATGATGTGGTGACGAACCCTATGCCGATCCCTAAGGCCTCCGGTACCAAGGTTCGGTCGGTGATGTCCTTGCTAAGGAAGGGTGCTAGCCAACAAGCCTTTCATGAAAAATTGTTCGCTTCCAGTCTTGCAACCTCGACTTCCATAACTACAACCCATGTAATCGAGGTGAATCCTGCTTCCACAGTTTCTACCATTCTTGCCACTGATCTTATCGACATGAATGATTTGATAACGTCTTCCGAGGGAGTAACTTCAGATATGATAGCTGAAGGTGACCTGGTGACCGAAGTCATGTCCAACAGCTCTTCTGTTCCAAAATTTGGTAAACTATCTTTCCTCATCTTTCCACATAACTACTCTTTTTTTATTCCTTACTTCTTACTCGTTATGTTGTTTGTTTAAATTTCAGATTTTCCTCTGCCAAAGAAGAAAGCTCCCCATCTTCCCTGATGTCTTTAGCTTCCTCCATCCCATCCTTTTTGCATCATTTCACTACCACCTCCTTTGTCAATAAGGCTTCTCTTAGAAAGATTACCGATGAGGAGGGGATAGACAAGGCTCAGACTCACATCCTTGAGGGCCTTCATTGGATGAATGAAGTATCTTTGTGCAACAATGCTCGTATGGTAGCTACGGCTGCCAGAGACATGGAATTTGACAAGTTGTCCGATTGCATGGACAAGCTTCGATCAAGTTATCAGGTTTTAGAATGAGAGAAGACATAACTTATGCAGGAGAACATTGACTTAACCTCTTCCAACAAATAGATATCACTAGACTTGGCTGAATCTGTGTGTATTCAGGAAGAGCTTCACCTTTTGAATCACGACCTACAACTGAAACTTGATGAAACGAGCGCTCGTGATGCCTCGTTAGCCAAGGATCTAGAAGAGGTGACTCAGCAACTTGCCGGTTTGAAGACTATTTTCTCAGAGAAAGTATCTACTATGTACATTGCTTGTTCGGAAAAGGATGTTAGTGCAAGACAATTGGAAGATGAGGTGAGCATTCTGCAATTGTCTTTGAGGGAAAAATGATGCTCGGATCAATGAGTTGGAGATTTACAATGCATCACCCAAACAGGATGCCCTGTTTCATTAAAAATTTATGAGCAACATTCCCTCGATCTGAAGTGGACATTGAAGCAGGGGATACCCTTCTTTTTTCGGGCTCTACTTAACTCGGAGGAGTTTAACCATGCCAATGCTTCCTTACAAGAGGCTGCTATACAACTTGGCTAGCATTAAGCCTGTACTTAAATAGCATCCCGGTATATGAACGTGATGGCTAGTCTCGAGCTTCCTTTGTCTTTTCCGAAAGCTACTGAATTAGTTCTCCAACGGTTCACTAAACTTACCAACTTTGATTTCGCCTTGTTAAAGATGCTCGAAGGAGATGGTTGTATATGCGAGCTTTTGAAGAAGGAGCTAGAGGAGATGGATTCTTCTAACACTAGATCTGATGATTAGCTTTATATCTTTTTTTTGTAATCGTAATATTCTATCTGTAATGTAACTTTCTTCTTCCTTGAAGCATTTCTTCCGTATTAGATTTGTGCTTTCAGTACTTGGTATTGTGACATAAGCTTTAGCTATTCCTTCATAGCTTTTAACATTATATGTATCAACTTAGCTTAATTTATGAATGATGGACCATAGTTTTGTAACTAGTTGAATTTGCCATTATATTCTTCCCTTCTGTTGTTCATATAACCCATCCTTAGTGAGTGAATCATGATTATCATTTTATACAACCAAATCTAGGGGGATAGTGTAATGTCTCAACTGTCAGGTATCATTATTATTCAATTTAGACTTCATGTTTTAAGGCCTACTCGACGAGTTGATGCTATGACTCGTCGAGTAGCAGCGGGATGTGACACGTCATTTAATGATTTAACTCGGCGAGCCGGGAAGGGGACTCGACGAGTAGGAGCTGGCGGGGGAAACCCTAAATTTTAGGGTTTTTGCACCCTATATATTGGACCCTTAGCGCCTCCCACTGTCTTTTATCACCCCCTTGAGAGACAGAAACCCTAATTTTCGTGTGTGTGACCCTTGTGAGTGTTTTGGAGCTTTGGAAAGTGATTTAGTGAAGGAAATTTGTAGATCAAGAGGCTACCATCAAGGAAATTTTGTGTGGATCCAGAGTCTACTTCAGTTTGGGCACATTTTTGAGGTAACCAGCTGATTACCTTGATCTCTTTCCTCCTAGAACCACTCTTGTGTAAAGTTTAGGGTTTCTTTAGCTTATTTATGAAGGGATTATTGTGTGGGAGCTAGATATGAAGTTAAAACTTCAAATCTGAACCTCCCTTGGGTCCTACGTTCATAAAGTTCTCAGTATTGTCATGAAAGAGCCCTTCCTTATGAGTAGAGCTTCATTTCAAGCTTGGATTCGGATTTTGAGGCACGCAAATACGTAAAGGTAGCAACTTTACGTTGCTAATGCACTCTAGGGACCTAGATCTACTGTTTGGAACGGAGGGATAGTTCAGAATCGCTTGATCATGGGAGTATTCGTATGGACTCGGCGAGTCTGGGAGATGACTCGGCGAGTCGAGTAGGGTTTTTGTCCGAATTGGTCCCGCATGGACTCGGCGAGTCTGGGAGATGACTCATTGAGTCAGTTTGGGTTTCCAAGCACTGGGTTGCGTATTGACTCGACGAGTCTGTTAGAAATTCGGTGAGTTGAGTCGAGTAACTCTTGAATCAGTAGGGACTCGATGAAGGGAAAGTTGCACTCATCAAATAGGTCAACATGGACTGTTGACCATTGACCAGTGACTTTGACTTTGACTAGGGAGAGTGTCTTGTGCCTTCCAAGGGCATTTTGGTAATTTGAGTAATTATTGAGTGGACCGCTTACGGGTACAGGCGAGGTGGTTGGAGCTATATCTGGAGGTGTGGACAGTATTATTCCGAGCTGCTAGCGGGGTGAGTTATCCTCACTATATCAATAGGGTCAAAGGCACCAAGGCCGACCCTTTAGGTTGTTATTCTGGTTATAGTATGCTGTATGTGGTTATGATCTGTTAGATCGGTATTAGGATAGACATGATGATGTTATGCTTTATGATCCTTTAGGATTGGTATGTTAGTGACCTGGTTAGGTCGGTATTCTGGTTATAAGTGATTGCGATGATAGATGATCTGTGAGATAGTTATATCTGATATATATATATATATATATATATATATATATATATATATATATATATATATATATATATATATATATATGCCAGTATATGTTATTTATGTGCACATGGTTATTTGTTTGATGGTTGGGTTGAGGCGGTCCTGCTTTGTGCTGAAGGCCAACATACCCGACGAGCGGTCCAGATAGACTGTGGGCCCTGCATGACGGTCCAGTCATACCGAAGGCTCGGGATAGATCCAAATAGATTGTAGGCCTTGCAAGGCGGTCCAGTCAGGCTGAAGGTCCAGTATACATGTTGTTGTTATCTGTTATTGATATGGTATTATCGGTGTAGTATTGGTATTTTGGGGGTAACTCACTAAGCTCTCGGGCTTACAGTTTCAGTTTATTGTTTCAGGTACATCAGGAGATCGTGGCAAGGCAAAGGCGTGACCGTACCGCTCTTCATCCTTATGATTTTGTTTCCGGGACACTCTGATGAATAATATTTTGAAAACAATTTGTATAACACTATTTGTTTTTTAATGGATGAAAAAGTTTAAAATTTGGCTTAAATTTTTGGATGTTACAAGTTGGTATCAGAGCCTTGGTTTGAGTGAATTGGAGGAACACTCGTGTGAATCCAGTCTCAAATCAAGAAAATTTTCAAGAATAAATTCTAAAATGGTTTTCAAATAAGGGATGGAGGATGCGAAGTGTACGATCAGCCGGAGCCAGTTAGTAGACCCCAAAATACCATACAGTTATTTTATATTATGATATGTTAGAACAGCATGCTAGTACTAGGCTAGGGATCTCCAGGGATCGCATGATAGAAATTGCCTGATTACTTGATGCCTGCTAGCCTAGGGTTTTCTTTGTATGAGATTGACATCATTACTGTGGTTCCTTGTGTATGTATCATGGCTGTATATAATTAAGATCTTATAGCCTGAGAATATTAGATTTGGTCTTGTGCTTAGGGCCAGGTTGGATATTCGAAAGTCTATGAGGTCTAGCGTTATGTATAGCTAGCATACACTGGTGCTACAGGGTTGATGAAAGTCTCATGGATGGCTGAGTTATGAAGAGTTAGTAGATCAGTAGTGAGATGTTTAGTATTCCTCTAGAAGTGAGGATGGAGAGTTCGTTATGATTATGTATATTATTAGGGTTTGTGATGATACTTGGGACAAATATGGGTAGGTGTGGAAGGTAGTATGGGCCCGTACTACTGAAAGCATAGGACCCATACGCGTAGCAAGGAAGTCACAACCCCTAGGGTTTGTGGGAATTGGTCTCCCGATATTATGTTGTTTATCTGACGCCTTTGGTATATTTTCTGTATGGTGGTGACGATACGTTTTGCGACTGGATCCGGGTCGGGATCAGGATCAGGATCAGGAGACGGAGGCAAGGGTGTGCCTGTAGCACCTGAGCCTATGGTGCAGATAGGGACAGAGGAGTTGGATGCCAGGATTCAGGAGATCCTGCATGATGAGATTGCCGATGCGTTTCGAGCGCAACTACCAGAGATGTTTGGGTCGATTAAGACCACTATGGTCGAGTACTTTGATGAGCGTTATGCAGCCTTAGCAGAGACGGCTGCCGCTACAGCCACATCGGCTGTAACCGCGACAGGGGGTGGAGGAGGAGCCAGTCGGGCTTTTCAGTACCGGGACTTCGATAACACGAAGCCACCGACATTTGATGGTACCCAGGATGCGATCAGGGCTATGAGGTGGTTATCTGACGTGGAGGGCTGTTTCTTCACGTGCTCATGTCCTACTGACCAGAAGGTCAGGTGCGCCCTGAACCTGCTGAGGCTTGGGGCCAAGGACTGGTGGAGACTGACGACTGGGTCGTACACTGATGATCAGAGAACTACTATTACTTGGGAGCGGTTCAGGGATATGTTCCGCGCTCGCTATGTTCCACGTGTGGAGCGGGAGCGGCTTGCTCAGGAGTTTTTGACTTTGAAGCAGGATGGAGAGTCGGTGATGGAGATCACCCACATGTTCACAGAGAGGGCTATGTTTTGCCCGGAGTTTGCTTCCGAGCAGTCTCAGATGACTCGTTATCTGAGCATGCTCAAGACCGATATCCGTCAGTTTGTTGCCACGCAACGTTGTGATACTCTTCTGGATTTTCAGGAAGCAGCTAGGCGGCGTGATTTGGAGTTAGAGCTGCAGTTGAAGGAGCAATGTCAGGTTCCGACACAGTCTCAGCCGGCACCGAAGCGGTCTAAGACCGCTGATTCTAGGACCGGGGGTCAGCAGAGCCGCGCTTGTGGAAAGTGCGACATGGGTCATTCTGGAGTTTGTCGAGCAGGTGGTGGGTGCCACAAATGTGGCAAGGAGGGGCACTATGCCAGGGACTGTCGCCAGTCCGCCCCAACAGCAGATATGAGGATATGTTATCACTGTCATCAGGTTGGTCATGTGAACACCAACTGTCCGCAGCTCGCAGCCAAGCCGACGCAGGTTTCCACACCAGCTACTTTGAGGATTGCGGATGGGAGGCCGGTCAAGGCGGAGCCTCCAAAGGCTCAGGGGCGTGCCTTCCAGCTCACGGCCGAGGAGGCCAGGGCAACACCGGATGTGGTTGCTGGTATGTTTCTATCCCTTATTTCAGTTATTATATATATGTTATGCTTATCTGTTGTACCTATGTTTAGGTACGTTTTTACTAAACTCCTTGCCTGCATTGGTTTTATTCGACTCGGGGGCGAGTCGGTCGTTCGTATCTCAGACTTTTAGTAGGGGGTTTAGTGTGCCAGTAAGTGGGCTTGAGTGTCCGTTGCGAGTTTCTATCGCCAACGAACACATGGTTTCTGCTTCTTCGGTCTACCGGGGATGTGAGTTGGAGATTTTCGGGGTGTCCTTCCCGATAGATT